CTGATTTTAGTAAGCGAAACTAAGACAAAACCAAACTCAGTCATCAAACTATGTAACTACATAACGTATCTAAACTCAAGACTCAACAGACCGGGAGGAGGAGTAGCCACCTTCGTCCGTAAGAACATAGAGCACTGCACCACCCCAGAATCCGACACAGAAACACTGGAAACCAGCTCAGTGATAATCGAGACAACACTGGCTGGCAGAATTAAAGTTATATCCGCCTACTATCCTCCCCTAAAAAGATTTCTGGAATCGGACTATATCAATGCTATGGAAGACGACCTACCAACCATAATGGCCGGAGATCTGAATGCCAAGAATCCTGATTGGAACTCTCGAACGACTAACAACTACGGCAAAAGACTAGCTGAACAAGCTCAAAGATCCATATGGGAAGTGCAGGGCCCGGTGGAACCCACCTTCTTCAATGGAATTCATAGGCCCGATGTGCTCGATATCGCTGTGCTTAAGGACCTGCACCACCACATTACAATTACAACGATCCACGATTTATCATCCGACCACAATCCCATAGTAATAACAATAGGGAAAAACCCAAACACCGTTAACTACACCACCATTAAAAAGATAAACTGGCCCAAATATGTCCAAATACTAACTGAAAAAACCCCAAACCTGACTCAGCTGACAAACCACTCGGAAATTGACGAAACTGCGGCAAACCTCACGGAAGTTATCTCAAAAGCTATAAAAACCTCCACCTCAACTGTTACTCGTCAATCCAAAAGTCCCTACACCATCCCGGACAGAATCAAAAGACTGATCAGAGCCAAAAGAACGGCGAAGCGAACTGCGGAAAGAACGCTTAGTCCAGCTGACAAGCAAAGAGCCAACCAACTCAAGAGAGAGCTCCAAGCCGAGCTCAAAGACAGTGGGCAAAACGTCTCAGCGAGTTGGAGACCGGCTCAAGGGACTTTTGGAACACAATTAAGGCACTGGGCAACCAGACAAGAGGGGCAGTTCATCCCATCCACGGGCCTAACGGCCTTGTTTACTCTGCGGAAGAGAAGACCGAGGTCTTTGCCACCATGCTTCACGATCAATTTTCCCCCAATTTGCCTCATGAAGATTACAGGGATGAGAACAGGGAGACAAGACAGATTGTTGACCGGCTGAACGAAATGACACCCTCCTTCACCACCAGACCCACTAATCAGGAAGAGATCACCACCACGATTGCATCCCCTTCCCGGCCGGCTACATGCCCATTTCCCTGTTGCCATCCTTGTCAAAGCTGTGTGAGAGAATCATTAAGATAAGACTGGACGAGGAAATAGATACTAAGGAAATACTCCCAGAGGAACAGTTCGGCTTTAGGAAAACAATGTCGACAGAGATGCAGCTCTTACGTATAGCTGAACACGTCAAAGCCAATCTCGACAAAAAACTGAAAACCGGCATGGTCCTCATGGACCTATCTAAGGCCTTTGACAAGGTATGGCACCCCGGACTCATAGACAAAATGCACAACACAGACATAAACCCCGACCTGACCAACCTCATCGTATCTTACCTTAGCGAAAGGTCATTCCAAGTCAGCCATCTGGATTCCCTCTCAAGACCTAGAAGGATAAGGGCTGGAGTCCCCCAAGGCTCCGTTTTGGGGCCCACCCTCTTCAACATTTTCATGTGTGACATACCCTCAATACAACAAATTAACTATGCGCTGTACGCAGATGACACGGCTTTCTACGCGTCCAGTAAGAGAGACTCTGACATTGCTAAATGGCTCCAGATCGCACTGGACGAATTCGAGGATTGGGCATCGTGTTGGCGCGTGAAAGTCAACCCAAACAAAACCCAGGCCATCCTGATCTCGAAAGGAGGAAGAACCACTCCCAGAAGACTCGAATACGGCGACACTACAATCGAATGGGCAAAAGCGTTAAATACCTCGGTGTCACCATAGACAAAAAAATGACCTGGAAAATCCATATCGAAACACAAAGAGCCAAAGCCTTGAACACGATCAAGCGTCTTGAAAGTGTCTCACACCCCAATAGCCATTTAGACCTACGAAACAGACGGCTTCTTTGGCCTCACTCATTAGACCTACGATATGCTACGCTGCCGCCACCTGGATCACTGCCGCCGATTCACACCTAAAAAGGCTAGAAACCATTCAAAACAAATTTCTTAGAAGAATCTGTGGAGCCCCCTGGTTCGTTAGAAACAGTCAACTTCAAAAAGACCTCAAACTCCCACCCCTAAAAGATTACCTCAAAACCTTAAGCGCTTCAACCATTGACAGATGCACTGTAAACGAGAATTCACTAATTAGGGCGGCATTGGACTATAACCCCAATGACAGAAGCAAACAGAAAGGCGCCAGGGGAGCCATAATCGACCCAGGCTAAACAAAACTCCCCTCTTGGGGTAGGCATGTCTTTGTCTGACAGTCCTCTGTAAAATTTCCCAAATCTCTAGTCAAAACCTTTATCCCAAATACATATCTAGTCATCATCTAAAGTATACACTGTAAATGTTTTACAACTTGTATGTTTCAAATAGGGTCCTACGAGGAACACCTCAATTGTAAGTAGAACACAAATTTATAAATTTTTGTTTTACATGCTTTACTTTTTGTTTTACTTGCTTTTGTTTATACATTTTTTGTTACACACGCCTTGTCCACACGCTCTTGCCTTACATAATCCTTTTGTCTGTAATATAAAACTCATGCTTTTGTCTTATACGCTTTTTGTTATACACGCTTTTCGTTTTACATCTTACTTACCTCATTTCTGCTTTGCCTCTTGTTTATACACTTTTTGTTACACACGTCTTGTTCAAATGCTTTTGCTTCACATAATCTTTTTGTTTGTCATATATAAATTCATGCTATTGTCTTATACGCTCTTTGTTTTACACACTATTGGTTCTACATCTTACTTACCTTATTTTTGTTATGCTTACTATTTATTATTTTGTAATTAACGCTTCAATTAGAACTAATCAATTGTAAATATTGCTTTGAAAAGAGTCTGTTAAAAAAAAAAATTAAATAAAATAAAAAAAAGAAAAAAAAAAGAAGACAGAATCTCCCATAATCTACTAACCTGCCCTCAGCTCTCACTGTTTTTATTTTTCGCTAGCTGACTTTGTTTTTACTAACTTGACTAAACCTAATCTTAAGCGCGTTCTTTTTGTTTACCGATATATTTTTGTTATATACTAACACACTGCCATTTCTTAATTTCTCTTACAGCAACTACTAAATAAAAAAAAAATTATGCAGACACTGTCCCGTGCCCAATCTAATTATAGTTAGTGCATGGGCTCTCCCCTGCTAGAGAATATGTATTTGGTCGCTGGCGTCCTTTTCAATTTCTCTTAAATTAAATTCATGATCACTTCAACCAAAAAAATTAAACTTATTTTCTTTTTCTTAACTTGATGGGCTGAGAGTCTAAGGTCTTACATGACCGACTCTCGCTCGGACTATAAATCCAGCAAATTTTAAGTTGACCCACAATAGACTCCACCTCCACTATGACTGGGTCCTAATGATGGGACTATCATCCCTATGTTTTTACGAAGAAGTCCCACAGTTCCAAGACTTCGAAATCCAAAGATCGAAGTAGATATGGCAATTACAAACAACCCCTCTTCGTCTAAGTTTGTTTCTGTCTAATTTTTGTTCGTTCCATAAAAAAAATTCTATTAAAAATGTATACTATATTTCCATTAAATAATAATTCTTTATTTTATATACTATTTCTTTGTATTTAGGAACCTTCATAAATAAGACTAACTAACTTATTTTGATTCAATATTATATTATCAATTAAATTACGATTACCATTCTATTAATTATTATAGGTACTTTATAAGTTTTACAGTTGGCAATTCTTTCGGCAATTGCAATTAAAATTGTCGTATGCATGCGTGGTATAGACATTTCAACAAATCCCTTGCAATTGCCGAAAATCAGTCCGGATAGATTCTTGTTGCCGGCGGGTGAAATTTCCCTAGAGAGACGCTGCTTGACTTGACAGTTTAAGGTTATTTGTTTTATTATTGACATTGTGTTTAAAGTTCTGTGTGTTGTTTAGGGAGATATGTAGTGTAGCAGGTTTAAATTTATTATTATATAATAAATCTCATAATTAACCACTTTTAGTAGTTATGACTGAAACAGGGAAAAAACCACCTTACTCATAAAATTGTATGTGCAGCATCCATGTTTATATTTAATTACTCAGAGTACCACAATAGAAACTAGAGGAATAAGGCTTTTCAAGCAATAGCGATGAAATTTAAGACTAAAACACTTTCATGGTTAACTGGTAAAATTATTGAAAAGAAAATTCATGGTATTAGAACCCAGTTTCTGTCAGAAGTATAAAAGATAAAAAAATGTGAGGTATCGGGGGCTTCGCATGATGATATTTATAAACCCACATTATGGTGTTTCGACCAGCTACTTTTTTGCAGCAGGGATCGGACGTGGTCAGCAGTGGAGAGTCGAATTTGTTGCTTTCTTCAAATATATGCACTACATCACTACTTGAGGATGAGATGAGTGTGAAATTTAATTTATGTTGTATAAAACTCCGGTCATACGCCTTAGGCGTAACGCCTATAAAGCATTTGACGCATAAATTGATATAAATTAATTTTTGGACGTCGGGCTGTTTTAAAAAAATTAAAAAAATAATAATAAAGTATTACTTTCTAATGACAAATTAGAGGGAAACTCTTTCACTGTGAGGAAGCAGTTCTATAACTGTATAAATATTCTAAATATTCTAAAATAATACACGGCGTTCGTTAAGTATATTTCAGGACTGTGTTGTACTATTAAAAAAAAGAAAAAAATTCCTATGTATCTTAATCCGAAAATATTTCCTAAGAAAGTTATGGCCTTCTAATAATGCAATATTACTCTCTTAAGAATGTGCATTATGAGCGCGCAATAGCGTACGAAGCAGAGAGCCCTGAGAATCCAAGCGACCTAGTGTGAAATTTAGCTAGTAAGCTCAAAGTTTTCTTTTGAACTCGCCAACTCTTTGCTTCGGAGCGAAGAAGGCACATTTTTTGTGGCCCAGAGGTTCCGTGACTTTGTCGGAAACGACCAGACTATGTCTGGGTTCGGCAAATCTAGGAGACCATCGGCCCCACCTAACATTCAAGGGGCCAAGACAAGGACGCCCCAGGCGTCCACTACTAAACCACGCCCGCTGCCTAATAGGATTCTGGGCTTTCCCCCAACCACCATAAGGGGGGCGAGGGCAAAACAGAGAGGTGAGCAAGCAAGGGACAATCCCGCTAACGGGCCCCATTCTATTCCGGGGTCCCAACCCTCCCTAAACTGCACAAAGTGTGGCCTGGGTTTTCCCACGGCCGCCTTACTACGGCAAGATGTCTTAAAGCACCAGTGTGGCGACAGAAATAAGTGCCCGTATTGCGGATTGATACTATCATCCTACAAAAGCGCGAGGGCACATGAACGTAAGTTACACCCGGTAGAGTCCGCTGCTAGCATTGAGATCCTGCGGCCCATGCCGGACGCTGAGGTCTTACAGACCTTGGCAGGCATTGAGGCGAAAACCTCAGCACGTGGCTTACTCAAGGGAATGTCAGTAGCGACTGGACTCACTGTGGACCAAGTGGAACATAGGATGCGACGCCCTGATTATGAGAGATACCTCGAGGTTGCGAAGCGCAGAATCTCGCGCCGTCAATCTCACAGTGGCAGCCTCTACGAGAAGTAACCTGGAAAGCTCTGAGCTCTGCCTTCCAGGAGTGTGTCCCCCGACAGACCATCTGTCGGCGAGTTATGTTGCCCCGGCTGCCGATGAGACAGCGCCGCAACTTTTTTCCACCACGGAGGTCGAGTCAAGCCGGAAGCGTCGTCGCGCTGTGTCTCCAGCCGCTTCTTTGCACATACCCAAGCGAAAGAGGAGTGTCACGGACACCAGTGATACCGGCGATTCGGGTGATGATGTTCCACAACATCGAACTACCCCCACTATCTGGTTATCTCCAATAGCCGGTCCCTCCTGGGAAAATTCCCAAGATACAGCTCCACGCAGAATGCCTATTGAACTTGACGATCGTTCGAATTTCCCCTCCGGGTCTGCTCACGCGGGTCTCCCCAACCTGCTACCGCAAGACATCTCGGTACTCCGCGAAGACCAACTCCTTTCGGAGTTCGCTGAGTACCTACGGGATGTGCGGTGCAAAATTGAGCAATCCTTCTCGAGCGTTGGTTGAGCACCTTAAACTCTATCTTATCTAAGATAGTGAGCAAACTAAGAATATAAAATTCAGCAAAGAATTACATTAACTTCGGTTTATTTTAGCCCAAATCTAAAATAATATATGAGGGAGAAATGGAAGATTTGAGGGATAAGGTTTTTTCACCTCCACCAGTGGGTGATTTAACAGATGTTTTGTCATATCCACCCTAAGTTTCAATATCAAGTTCCCAAAGTTCCTATACTGGACGGGGCAAAAAAAGAAAACAAACTAGGGAAACAACAGAGGAATTTTCTGGACTGTTTTCGACTGCCGTATCAGCATTGGAAACAAGGATGAAACTACTAGCCCTACACTAAAACATTTGGCTTTTGAAAGGTATATTACTTCTTGAAATACATTCAAGAGTTATTGTAACTTATGTACATCCATTGGTTTAATTTTGAATATTTATTTATTTCGTTTGTAATTTATTTCAGATGTTTGTCAGAAGAAATGGACAAGATTGATGATAAAGGCCTTTTTGGAAAATTTAATAATAATCTTGATTTAGCAGAATGTATTTTACAACAAATATAAAAATATCAAAACAATCAATAAATATGACTGTGTATGTAATTTACAGTTTTTAACATTATTTGGCAGATTGTTGAACATGTTTAGCCCATTAACAAAAATATTTTTAGTAGTCTGGAATTGCAGGAGTCCATCATGATGGCAATTTTTACAACAAAACGAAAATGTGGAGGTATGCAAAATAAATAATAAATATTATAAATAAATATTATTTTATATAAATATATTTTTATAATTTCATTGCCTACATTTATTTATAACATATCTTTAAAAATAAAAGTTTAGAGGAAAATAAATAATAACACATTTTTCAATGAAGTTCCAATTGAACAGGCAATAGCTGGTCGAGCAATTGAGAATAAAAAAAGAAAATATAAAGATGCTAATGCAAGACATCTAGGTGTTACTCACAATATTCCGTAGTAATTTATTATATGTATGAATGTAACTTTTCTGGTGGTTAATAAAAAATATCTCTCGATCTTTTGGCTTTCTTTTGAACAAATTTTCGTCCGAACTAATTTTTATGCTATTCGCCCAATAGTTGAAATATTTATACCATGTAGTGAATATTTTTGTAAAATCAAAAAAATATTATTCGACCACTTACGGACATATGTGCGACAACTGCTGGAATGAAACCTAAGCTTTAAAAAATTTTAACATAAAGGGTGTTTCAATAATAGCGCGCCATGATTGATAGTCAAAATGTCACCTGATTATGACGTGACAGATCGAAAGTACACAGATGGAAGTTTGTAACCATGCAACATTACACGGTAGAACAACGTGTCCTGATTGTTAAACATTACTATCAAAATGGTGAAAGTTTGATTCCCACCATTCGTAAAGTGAGTCCAACATTCGGTCCAAATAATGTTCCTAATTCATCTACTGTAGAAAGAATAATAAAGAAAAATTCAAAGGTACCGGTTCGGTTGGTGATGTGAAACATACAACACAAGTTCGCAGGGGTCGTTCAGAACAAAACATCACGGTAGTTCGCGAGAGTGTGGCCGAATGTCCAGAGACGTCAATTCGTCATCGTGCACATTTGCATCTCCATGCCTACAAAGTCCAATTGACTCAACAACTTCTGCCAACAGGCCATGTACAGCGAAGAGAGTTCACCAATTGGATCCTTGAGCAACATGCTGATTTTGCGGACAAAATCATTTTCAGTGATGAGGCTCATTTTCATCTCGATGGCTTCCTTAATCGGCAAAACTGCCGCATTTGGAGCTCAGAAAATCCACGAATGATTTATTAGAAAGCAATGCATCCAAAACGTGTCACTGTTTGGTGTGCATTGTGGTCTGGAGGAATCATTGGACCGTTTTTCTTTGAATTCGAGGCAGGTAATGCAATAACGGTGAATGGTGAACGTTATCGTGCTATGATAACGCAGTTTTTTGTGCCTCAATGGGAAGATATTGCTCTTGATGACATGTGGTTTCAGCAGGACGGTGCCACGTGTCATACTGTCCGTGAAACATTAACGCTTTTGCAAGAGTTTGCTCCTGGTCATGTCAATTCCCGATTTGATGACCAGAATTGGCCGCCACGTTCTTGCGATTTAACGCCTTTAGACTTCTGGCTGTGGGGTTATCTGAAGTCACAGGTTTATGCCAACAAGCCCAAGACCACAGAAGCATTAAAGGCCGGAATTAGACGCTGTATCAATGAAATACCGCCACATGTATGCAATAATGTTATTGAAAATTTCGCCAAAAGAGTACGCATATGCCAGTAAAGCCGTGGCGGCCATTTACAAGATATTTTATTTCATTCATAATTTTCAACTTAATACATTATAAGTCAATACAAATTTCAATACTTCAATACAATAAAATATGTTTTATTGAACTTTGAAATCTTGCGCTCTTATTGAACACCCTTTATATGTATATGACAAAACACAAAGACAGCATATATTTTGACGAGCTTGTGACCTTATATTGATATAAACAAAACTGGTGTAATTTTTGTAATCGCCGAGTGCTCTTTGATGTTGTCAGTACAGGTAAGTGCCATATTATGAGTATAGAGGATGGTGACATCACAGACGAGGCCAATGATAACAAAATTATTACTTATATTAAACGTGAATATAAACTGCCTTTTTAAATTATTTCTTAATAAAAACATCATGGACAGAGTATGGAAATTAATGATTATGGAATCGCCAAAGTATAGTGAAAGAGTATGAAACGCGTATATTTCCAAATCGCTCAAAAATCTCAGTAGACTAGTGGTAAATTTAAACTTAACTGCAAAAGAAATAGTTAGAGGCCAATTACCTATTGTACTTAATGGAGTAGTGTTCGAAAACAGAATTGTCGATTTCACAACGAGTCATGAAATCGAAAATTCAATCGTGCGAAGAAGAGATCTTAAAAACATCAACTCAATATAGACTAAAAAAGTGGTACAACTGTTATAGGGCCGTAGGTTTACTAGATATGCTATTCGCCCAATAATTGAAATATTTATACCCGATAGTGAATATTTTTGTAAAATCAAAAAATATTATTCTACCACTTACGGACATTTGTGCGACAGCTGCTGGAACCTGTGCTTTGAAGAATTTCCACATATATGTATATGACAAAACACATAGACATAACATAGATTTTAACGAGCTTGTGACCTTATATTTATATAAAAAAAAATTCTGCCCGAATTTATGTCTCGTCAGTAATCACACTTAAATTATATTTTCCAAACTATCATAAGCAGTGACAAATTTTACTTTGCAAAAAATTGCCTGCATTTATTTTTATCTATACACCAAAAGTTATTAATTTATAGAAAAAATTCAATAAATTTCTTAAAATATGCGATTTGTCCCGTCAGTAATCATGGAATCGCCCTGCCATAGTGTGTAATTTTATTAGGAAATATGAAAAAGAAATTATAAGGCTTTAGCAAGTTTAGTGTTTTGACAGACGAATCAACTGATATTAGTACTAACAAATGCATTTGCATTGTTGTCAGATTTTTTGCTTAGAAAATTAATAAAGTGGTCAGTTTATTTTTTGCACTTGTTTCTTGTTTTGATAATGAAGATAGCAACGGCACAATAACTTCACACTTATTTGGAAAAATTATCAATGAATTTAAGTTCCGCTCTTTTTTCCTTTTTCAGCCCTTTTTTATCCCTAGAAAATTCTATAAGTAATTAGAGAATTACGCACTTAATATATTCTACCAAACGCCTAAGGATTTGGTCGCCAAACTATACCACCCCTATGAACCTTGACAACTCTCTGGCTGGTGTTCCTAACTAGAAAAGTTGCATAATCTCCAAGAAAAAGGGTGTAAAATCGAAAGTCGGCACGTGGCTTCTCCTATCCACCATTTTGTCGTCAATTCTGGTAATCGACGATTTCCTGCCGCCAAATTCCTTAAGTCCGGTGACCACCAAACCTTAGGCTTCTCAAGTAGGTGCTGAAAAATAAACTCATAATTTTCTATTTCTCTTTAACCTAATGTAAATTAATAAAATATTTTAAAATAATACTTACCTATATACATAAATAAACATTTCACTAAATACACCTAGTTACGTAATCTCTTATAAGAGTATACGTTACTAAATTACCATTATTTGGTTAATTTATTATTATTTCAATGACAGATGGCTAAAAAGTCGATCTTAAATAAATCAATATATCAATTATACTAATCTTAAATCTTTGGTGGAAAGAACTCTTGGATGGCCTTAAGCTCCAAGATTATTTTCAATAATCTTCCTGGTTAACGTTGTTCGAGGTATCTGATATGTTTTCGCGGCTAATTTCTTCGACTATTGAATCCATGGCTTTATCAAGATTTTCTTGCGTATAGTCTTGGTAGGTGTTGGATCTGGGGCTATGTAAGCTATGTAAAAGTACTGGAAGCTAAAAAGAATTGCTATCCAAAGAACATAGAAATAACTGAAACTTTGGCTAAAGTTCCATTGCAAGATTTACTTGACCATACCGTAACAAGAATTTTCGAATCGCATTCCGGATGTTAGACCTGGCCACAAGAAGTTGTTCTTCAAACAAAATGGGGAATGGATGGGGCTTCTGGTCAAAGTGAATTCAAGCAAAGTTTACGAGAGTAGCGTTGCATCTGACTCTCATCTGTTTATGACTTCTTTGGTTCCTTTAACGATCACAGCGGCCGGCACAGACATTTGGAAGAACACGCGTCCGTCCTCAACGAACTATTGTAGAGCCCTACATTTTCAGTACAAGAAGGAAACCCCCGAACTGATCAGACTTGAGAAAAATCGCGTTTACACTGAAATCTCGGAATTATCCGACACCTTATATGTTCAATTTCAATCGAAAATCGTATTAAAATCATCGAAACCTATAACGAAAATGGTCGTTGCGTGAAAACGACATATCGTAAAATTCGTGATATGTTTGGTCGTCATGGTCGGCCATCTGAGAACGCTATTAGGAATTTGGTGGATACATTAAAATCTACTGGTTCAACCAACAACATAACAACACCAATTCGTGTTCGTCCGGGTCGTTCAGCTGAAAATATCGCTGCTGTGAAAGTGTTGAAGAAGATCCAAATCTGTCCATTCCGCGGCGTTCTCAACAATTGGGCTTATCGACAATGACCACATGGCGAATTTTGCGTAAGGATGTATCTCTAAAACCTTATAAGGTACAGTTGGTTTAAGAATTAAAGCCATACGACCATTACGTTCGTCATCAGTTCGCTAATTTCATTAGTGAACAATGTGCGGGTTTTTTTTTTAAATAATCTTTTCGGACGAAGCTCACTTTCATTTGGATGGCTACGTTAATAAGCAAAATTGTAGAATTTGGGCATCAGAAAATCCAAGGAAAGTTATTGAGAAGCCTTTACATTCTCGCCGTGTCACTGTTTGGTGTGCATTTTGGTCGGGAGGTGTGATTGGACCATATTTTTATGAAAATGAGGCCGGAAATACTGTAACTGTCAATGGATTGCGTTATCGGGATATGTTGACTAATTATTTTTGGCCTATTATCGATGACATGGATTGTAACATAAAATGCTAACCATTTAAGGGTGCGGTTGTTACCCAGGCTATAGCTCAGCGTTGCTAGGTTCACTGAGTCGGGACAAGGGTTTTGTTGAGGGAGCCAGGTATTAAAAATATAAAATTGAAATTAGCTCAATACCAAAGCCAATTTAATTTAAGTTGTAATTGATTTAAGTGGTTATAAATTTTAGTTAATTTAGATAATGTCTCTAGAAATGAAAAACAAACTTGCTAAAAAAAACTATGTATATATATATTAAATCCCGTCGCTTTGAGTTTTACAAATTTAAATGTATATCTAATAACCTAACAGTGTTAATAAATACAGGTAAGTAATAATCATATACATATACTTAACGAGAATTCTCACAGTTAAATTAATTTATGTTTTAGGTACCAACAAATTATATAAAGTGCACTCTACCTCAACCTCCTAGTGTACACAAGGACTTGAATACTATCCTATGGGCTCTTGTTACGTGGGACATCCAGTCAAGCCGCCAATGTATTTTCCTGAAGCTTCCACTATAGTTGCCCCAAGCGCAAATCTTACAAGAAAGCAGTACACAGCCTTACTTCTTGGTATTCTTAGGGAGCGTGTAGAAGGAATCTCTCGTCAAACCCAGTACAATAATTACTTTTAATAAGTATCGTAAAGTAAAAGTACAGCAGGAGTAAAATAGGAGTGAAATTAAAGTTGAAGTAATATTAAAAGGCCTAAAATAAACATAATTATGTAGCTTTTCTTATTTTTAAATTGGACTAAATCGCTAGTAAACTTGTAAATTGCAAGTTAAAAATTTGTAACAAGATATAAAATTCACCCTGTGATATCTCAATTAAAGTTTATATTAAATAAAAGGTATATTTTAATAAAAATATAAATTATAGGGGTTAATTACCTTAGATGTAGTGTGGCCTTTATGTAAATATACTTTGTAATTTCTTTAAAAATTATATATAACTCTGTAGTAGATTGCAGGAGATTTTAAAATTAAATGCGCGATTTATCGATACGAAGCAGCGAGTTCGTTCATAAAAAAATCATACCTTATTGAAAAAGTTTATAAAAAAACAAATTATAACTATTAAAATTGTTTTAAAAATAATCAAATTTACCAATTAAAACATTCGAAATAATGCCCAAAATAATGTTATCAGAGTATTGCTACATAATTAGATTTATTCAACATTGCAAGCCTGGTTGCCTACCTACAAAGAATAACAACAATTTTAAACCAAAGCGACAGATCTATTACCTATAATTAAAATAATTATTACAAATTAGAACTAATAAAATTCCAATATATAAACTAAAATGTTTGTTAAATTTAAATTTAAGACACTGTAACATTGTTGATGTTACACTCCCTTCCTCCTTGGGAAAAATTAAACATACATTGTTTAATTTTTAAGTTAAAAGATGTTAGAACGGAGAACGTTTTATCTGCGGAATAAGTAACTACGCGTACCACACGCTACTAAGTAGAGTCAAAATTGATATGAGTCACATTCAGGTACAATTACAAGAAAGACTTGTAAAGGTTCATAATAAAAAAAATTTGTCTAAAATTGTTAAGGTCTAATCCGAGATTTTTGTTTTTTTAGGAGTCTATGTCTATGTTAACACTTAACATACTTGTTATTATAGATACACATATACTAATAATTAACTAATTAAATTCTAATACTCAATATTGTAGTAGATCTCAAAGCAAATCGTAAATCTAGAGATTCTAATGTTTAATTGGAATAAAATTAAAGACGGTTGTCAGATATATCTGACATAGAGCCTAGATAAGGCTTTAAGTCCTTAACATGCCAAGTACTAGTCGTACCTGAACTTAAATTCTTTAAAATATAGGAAACATCTGATTTCCTTTTAATTACCTCACACAAAACATATTTATCTGCCAGTTTAGCCATAAATCCCTTACTACCATCGCTCAATACCTTATTTCGTCGCCAAACTTTTTCACCAACATTAAATATTAGATGCCTTTTTCGCAAGTTATACGTTTTCGCATTTCGCAAATAGGCCCTTTTAAGGTTTTCTTTAACTTGAGAAAATACTTCTGAAATTTTATTGAAACTCTCCACATAAACCTGTCTATCACCAATATCTAAACTTGAAAATTTATCTATTTCTATAGTTCCATAAAATTTACCTGATAAAGGCACGTGCCTAGCAAAATTAAGGAATTGAGGAGAATATCCCGTGACTTCATGCTTTGCTGAATTTAGGGCAAATTGTATTTCATATAAGTGTTTGTCCCAATTTTTATGATTTTTAATATAACACCTGATAGAAGTACCGATTATTAAATTTTTTCTTTCGCAAAAATTAACTTGAGCATGGTAGTGACAATTAAACCATATTTTAACGTTATATTTTAAGGTGAGTTCCTTAAACTCTCGGCTAGTGAACTGTGTGCCATTATCACACATTATAATACTGGGTGCTCCAAAGACAAGAAAAACATTATTATTTATAAATTTAATACTACTGGAAGCGTTCGCCGTTCTTAGAGGACACAAAAGAGTATATTTAGTAAACCAATCGGTGACAACTAAGAGATAACTAAATCCTTGAGGACTCCTTGGAAAAGGTCCCATTAGGTCGGTAGCTATAATTTGCCAAGGAAAATCTACAGATTTTTCCTTCCCCATAAAACCGGCTCTAGCTTCTGTGGATATTTTTTGAGAACCACAAACCTTACAGCTACGGATATATTTTAAAATATCTTGACGCATGCGAGGCCAGTAGAATAAATCAGCAATCTTAGCGTAAGTTTTAAAGAAACCAAAGTGAGAGGACGTTGGATCGTCATGCGCAGATTTTAGTATATCTAAACGTTGACACTTAGGAACAAGAAGTTTCCATTCACTTAAGTTAGTACGCACAGGAGATTTTGAAGGAACAAATTTATACACGAAATTATCTTGTACTTTCCAATTGGGAAAGTTGTCTGGGGTTTTTATAATTTTATCACGTATGTTAACGTAAAAGCTATCCAAATTTTGAAGAGATAGCTCAGAGACATTTATATCTAAGACAGAACGAGAAAGTGCATCAGGAACCACATTATATTTTCCCTTTTTATGGACAACTTCAAAATTGTATTGTTGAAGTCTCAACGACCAGCGTGCGAGCTTACCAGCAGGATTTTGCAGGTTTTTAAGCCATTGCAGGGCGGAATGGTCAGTAACAAGCGTAAATTTTCTACCTTCAATATAATACCTAAATTTTTCAATAGCGAAAATCATGGCCAGAAGTTCCTTTTGAGTAACAGACAAATTTCTTTCAGTTTTAGTAAGACTACGGCTAGCGAAAGCAATGACAGACTCCACGTTATTAATATTTTGGGTCAGGACTCCACCTAAACCAAAATCACTAGCATCGCATTCAACTATAAAGGGTTGGTCAAAATCTGGGCTCTTAAGAATGGGTGTTGAGACTAATGCTTCCTTGAGCTGCAAGAATGACTCTTCAGCCTTATCAGACCAACAAATTGGAGATTTCTTTTCCTTCTTACCTTTAAGCAAGTCGTTTAATGGAGCAACTAAAGTGGAAAATTGTGGTACGAATTTTCTGTACCAAGAAGCCATACCCAAAAATCTTTTAATTTCGGTAGTGTTTGCGGGCCGAGGGTAGTTCACCATCGCGGATACCTTGTCAGGATCCGTTCGAAGGCCTTCACTATCGACAACATAACCAAGGTATTTTAGACTGGACTTGAAGAACTCACATTTTTTAATGTTTATTGTTAAGTTTGCCTCCTTCAAACGGTTTTTAACTTCAGTGAGGAGATCTAAATGATGTTCTAACGTAGGGGAAATAACAATTATGTCATCTAAATATACGAAAAGGTGTGGTTCGTATTTTGGGGAGACTACGGCATCCATGAGTCGTTGCTGGGTTTGGGCAGAGTTTACTAGACCAAATGGAACTCTACAAAAGTGAAATAAACCACGCCCTGGGACAGAAAATGCTGTCTTTTCTTTAGAAGAAACATCTAGGGGGATCTGCCAGAAGGAATGTCTAAGGTCGATTGCGGAAATGTATCTAGCTTCCCTCAACATGCTAAGGATTCTATCTACTCTTGGGAGAGGATAGGCATCGGGTTTGGTTATTTTATTTAGTGGTCGTCCATCAAAAACGAAGAGAAAATCACCAGTCTTCTTCTTAACTAAGAGGACCGGAGAATTCCAAGAACTATGTGACGGTTCCACAACACCAAGTTTAAGCATTTCGTCTAATTCCTTATTTAAAGCTTCAAGCATAAAGGGGGACAAAGGGTACTGTCTAATTTTAAAGGGTTTAGAGTCACCGGTGTCAATGTTCAAGGAGAG